GATGAAAAAACAGGCTGGAGACCAAGGAATGAACAACCACTGAGAAAGAAAGGTCAAGGGAGAACAATGCATGTAAGTGACTTTTTAACTGAAACAATTGGTAGACTTAAATTATCAGATGAACAAAAATTAGAACTTTCCTCATGATGCTCAAGTCATCATATGTCCTGGAAAGAATGCAGATGGCTGGTGGAATCTTGAACAGCTAATAGATCAAGTATATAAGAAAAAAAGATCAATATCAAGATAAAGGATAATCAATAATTAACTAGATTTATTATTTTTAGATTGTCAATAAGTCCATACCAATTTTTGAACTATCGTATTCTCCCGAATATAAGCAACACCATTTTAACACATTTTAGTCAACAAAACTGCAGGTGTTGCTTATATATATTCGGGAGATTTTGTTTGTGTTACATTATGTTTCCTTATTTCATCATTTGTGTTAAGTTTTATTCATTTTTTTCCCACGCAATGCCAAAAGTCAAATGTTCTTCATATTCTGTTGCTGAAAAGCTCCAAGTTTTGCAATATGCAAAACAATATGGTTTAAGATCAGCTGGGCGTCATTTTACTATTGATCCTTCAATGATTTCTCGTTGGCAAAAACAAGAGGAAGAACTCGATTTAGTAAAACAAAAAAAGAGAAGACGAATTGGTAATAATTTAGGAAGAAAAGCAAAATATCCTGAGGCTGAAGCTGAATTAAAGGCATGGATTGTTGAATTTTGGCAAGATGGAATTGCTGTAACTCCTAAAATTGTTAAAACTTACATGAAAGAACTTTTAGCAAACCAATTTTCTAATATTTATCCAGGTGCCAGTGAAAAATTTCTTGCATCAGAAAGTTGGTTCTATCGCTTTCTTAGAAGGTATGATTTTGCAATGAGATGTAAAACAAAGATTGGTCAGAAGCTTCCCACACACCTTGACATCAAACTTCTCGAATTTCAACAATTTATTATAAAAAAACAAAAACAATTTGAATACGAACTTTCAGAAATTGGAAATATGGATGAAACTCCTGTTTATTTTGATATGGTTGGAAATTTAACAATTGATAAACGTGGTGCAAAAACTGTGCAAGTTCGAACAACTGGAAATGATAAAAACCGTTTTACATGTGTCCTTACAATTCTTGCAGATGGTACAAAATTACCACCAATTGTTATTTTCAAAGGTAATTAAATTACAAAGAATTTACCTTCTCATCAAATCATTGTAATAATAATTGTCATTTTTAAAGGTAAACGAATGCCAAAGAATTTACCTTCTCAAATCATTGTACTAATGCACCCAAAAGGATGGATGGATGAAATTGGAATGAAAGCTTGGTTTGATAAGGTTTGGAAAAGAAGACCCGGAAATAGAATTACAAGAAAAAAAGCTTTACTTGTTATGGATAGCTTTGAAGGCCACAAGACAGATTCTATCAAAAAAATTGCACAAAATGAAAACACTGATTTAGCAATCATTCCAGGTGGTCTTACCTCTGTTGTTCAACCACTTGATGTTTGTATTAAAAAACCATTTAAAGATAGACTTCGTGAAAAGTGGAATACTTGGATGAGTTCAGGTAATTTCACCTATACCAAAAATGGAAATTTAAGAAAGCCTGAACATAATGTCATTTGTAAATGGATTTTGGAGGTTTGGGATGAAATTCCGAATGAAATGATTGTGAAATCATTTAAAAAGTGTGGCATTAGTAATGCAATTGATGGATCGGAAGATCATTTGTTTGGACAAGCTTATGGGGATGAAAATGAAGATGAGGAAGATGAATGTGAAATACTAGATAGAAACGATGATTCAGCTGATGAATTAGAAGGGGAAGAGTCTGGTGATTCTGAAAAAGAATAATCAAAATAAAAAAATTTTCTTATTTTTTTATTTATTATATAAAAATAAGAAATCAAATAAAAATTTTCAAAAATATAGGTGTTGCTTATATTTATTTTTCTATTTTTTCAGTTTTTTTGTTGCAAATTCTTACTGTTGCTTATATTCGGGTTTTGCTTATATTCGGGAGAATACGGTAACACATCCTAATAGTATTGCAGTATTTGCATTTGATCATTCATCAAGTCATACTAAAGTGGCAGATGATGCATTGAATGCATTTACAATGAATCTAAACCCTGCAGGGGGGCAGCCAACTATGAGGGATACTATTTTTGATGGTAAAGTTCAACAAATGGTATTCCCAGATGATTTTCATGTAGAAAAATTGCATGGAATGAAGATAATTTTGGAGGAAAGAGGGTTATGGAGGACTGGCCTAAAAGCATTCTGTAAAAAAAATGGTTAGTT